TGAATTTATAAGAGATAAAATGAATACAGGACCAAGAAAGTATTTAAATCTATCAAACAATAATATATTTTTGACTGTTTGTTAGTCAAGTTGTAAGTAGTTTGTTAAATTTGGAGAGTGTATAATCTTGTCAGTTATTTAAGATAAGATTTAATATGGTAAAATTGATTTTTTTTTTTAATTTTTGTTGAGACATAAAAATTGAAAGTTTTAATTTTAGGTTAAAATACTAGTTTGGTCCCTGTACTTTCAGTCTTAGTTCATTTTGGTCCTCGTACTTKAAAGTGTTCGTTTTGGTCTCTGTACTTTAAACTTTGGTTCCGTTTAGTCATTGTATTTTGAAAATGTTCATCTTAGTCTCTATACTTTTAAAAAGTGATCATTTTAGTCGCTCTTTATAGAATTTTAACACATATTTTACGCATAACGACAACTCTTTAAAATATTGATTTTAGTGCCGTGTTGAAATTGTGATATAAAAAATGAGATTAAGAATAAAATTAAGGGACTAAAATGGTAACTTTTTAAAAGCATAGAGGCTAAAATGTATATTTTGAAAATACGATGACTAAAATGAATAAAAGTTTAAATTACAGGGACTAAAACAAACACTTTCAAAGTATGGGGACCAAAATGTACCAAAGCTGAAACTACAGGGACCAAACTAGTACTTTAACCTTAATTTTATCATGTGGAATAAAATAAAAATGTTCATGACTATTTATTTTAATAGACAAATTAGGATTATGTAGTTCTACTGAAATTTATTATTAGAGCAAACGATGAGTGTCAATGAATGAACCACGAAGGCCAACAAAATGGACCAATTTGAAAGCCCACCATACAAAATGGGTCGAGTTTGAATAAACCACAGCCCAAAATATATAATAACACAAAGTTTTTTTTTTAATACAACAAATGTGGGGAGAGGGTTGAAACTCTCATTTCCAACTAAGGAACAAGATACCTTGTAACCACTAAGCTGGCCATATTTTGGCCATGTGATAGCACAAGTTAAAAAAATAATGTGTTATTAAGAAATAATAGTGTGTCAGATATAGATATGATAGTTCGAGAAAAAAAACTTTTTAAATTTAAAATACTTTTTTTATATCGGACACTTTTTTAAAAAATTACTAATTTAAGGTGTGTTTAATAGTTTCTGCGTAGTTTTAGTTTTAAAAGTGAAAAAAACCAATGGTATTCGGTAATAAACAAAAACGCATTTACAAGAATCAAATTACATAAAAAAAAAAATTTCAAATGCGAGATAATTATTAAAAAATATACTTTGGAAGTGGTTCTTCCCATGGTGAAGTTGCAGCGACTCCATTTACTATTATGATAAATCACTTCATCAAGATGTTAATCTGAGATATTATTTGAGTTCAATTCATCTACCCCATGAGACTCACATTTGACTTCTGTCTTGGTAAGTGTATTATTTCATATTTTCTCAAAATAACATTCATTAACCACGACGATTGAAACAATATGAAAAGTCCAAATTTGGAAAGGAGAATGATTGACACTTGAGATTAAAAAAATGTGAAAAAAAAAGTAGGTAGGGAAAGAAATATTGGCAGTGTAGGTCGTCGTTGCGGTTAATATTGTTACTTAAATATTGGCACAATATAATTTGACATGACACGAGAGAGTAGGTAGGGGAAGAAATTTGGTAGCATACATTTTAAATCGAATTTTTTACTTATCTACCATTGCTTTATTCAACAAATATCGATCTAATTCATTAGACCACCTTTCGTTGTGTTATGTTTAATTCATTAGACCACCTTTCGTTGTGTTATGTTAAATCATCCCTTAAAATCCAATCAACATGTTATGTCAACATTTAAGTAATAGTTTTAACGATAACTTATCATCAATTTAGTGGATAACTATTACATCCCGATAGTTTGATCTCTATCTAATTGTTTAACTAAAGAAAATAAAATTTTATAACAATCAAAATTGAAAATAGAAAGACATAATTATTATTTTTTACGTTTGAGAACTAAATAAATTTATAATTTAATTATATTCATATGGGATGGGCCCTAAAATTTTAAAATTTTTCCTAAATTAATCTCCATCTAGTTGAATTACATAAAGAATTATATATATAAACTTAATTAATGAATTTAAAATTCACATCCAATAGCCAATAGAAAATTCCCTATATAAAACTATATATATATATAAAGTTATATTGTTGTATTGAAAGATATATTCACAAATATGAAAAAGTAAAGTCATATGGGCAAAAACGACTTTTACATAAGCAACACTTGCAAATTAGTCAATTCAAAAATGTGTTCACTTCTCATGCATTGTTCAAATATCTTTAAATAAAAAATATTTCAAAGTCATGAAAATAACATAATTAAATAAATCATTATTGATGATTAATCAATGGTTTGCTTTCAAAAGTCAATTAATGTTTAGCATTTGAATTTGAGTTAATTATTTCTGGAGGAAAAATGACATTATATAAAACTATAGTATAAGTAGAAACGTTATTATAATTATTCTTTTTATACGAAGAAGCTAACCAGTAGAATTATTTTTTTGAATTATTTTTTTAAAATTGTATTTATGCTTATAAAACTCGTTTTATTTGTATATTTTTGTTGTTGGTGAACAGTGAACACGTCCATGATAATTTCAATCTCTATATATAAATATATTATCCCACTAACAATTTCAAATGTTGTTTGAAAAAAATTCAAATATGAAAACCATTTATCATTTATTTATCCACCAATTGCCATTTGTTCTTATCCTTCATGATGTTTCAATTGGGATTAGTTTAATTTCCTAGAAAAAAAATAGTTTAAAGGTTTTGTATTTTAAAATTATATTTCTGCAATTTGAAGGTATTTTTAATTGTCAAGAGATGCCAAAACGAACATAACTTAGCGTTAATTGACATATATTAGTTGGAGTTTGCTTCCCACCCCCACATGTTGTACTAAAAAATGAATTGTTAAGAGACTAATATTCTAAAATTAATATTTCTATCTGAACATTTCTAGAAGAAATTATCATAACGTTGTTTTAAGAAACATCTTTAAAGTTGTATATACTGCGGGGAATAATTTTATTTTTAAAAAGTTAGAGAAAATGTTATTATATCCTTTTTTTCTATCACCTATAAGTTTAATAATAAATATAGAGGAGGATCATTTTTAGTATTTCTTAAATCAAAAGGATAAAACATAATTACAAAACATGAAAATAGAACAAAGAAAAAAAACAAAAACAAAAAAACCAGATATATTGTTAAATTACCAATAAACCCAAAAGTTCAAACTTGTCAAATTTCCTCTCCTTTTAACCTTGATTATCACTTATTGACTCTTTACAAATTTCCGAGTTAAGGGGAGTGTTATGATATTCTTATAAATGATTAAATTTATCCCAACCTATCGGTTTAAACTTTTAGATTTATTGGTAATTCAACACATATTTTCGATTTTATCAGTTGTTTTAATTATTACAACACTTATCAAACTCCAAGATCCAACATGCAACTGATAGTTAGGGCAAAATTTGATCCACCTTACAAAGTTTATAGGTAAAAAGCAAACGTTTGTGTAAAAAGTAATTACCAAACATTTTTTTTATCCTGTCTTAACATAGGAAGCAAGGAATTAAAAGAGGGAGAAAACATAACAAATATGTCATTTTCTAAGTTTTCATCCAATATTCATATTTTAGACATATCTTAAAAAAAAAATTTGTTTACAACTTGACTTTCAAAGGAAATCTCTCTCTAACCTAGTAAAGTAGGGGTTGACATTCGACAAAGTCAACTCCTTTTAAGATTAAGATATGATCTTCATCACTAAGGGGAAAAAAAAGAAAAAAGAAATATTGTGGCCCTTTTTTTAAGTTAAGAGGATGGCCAATATTAATGTCAAAAATAAAATAAAATAAAATAAAAGGACAGCGAATATTTCATTAATGGTTGAGGATACTTATGTAATTGGTCCATAGAATTGAGACAAAAGTACAAAAGAAAAAAAACTCATTGACTTTACAAATTGGCAACTTTTTAATTGCTTTAGTCAAAAGACTTGACAAGTTCCCACCACAAGTCAACCCAACATCTTATTTAAATCACTTTTGGGAGATGCCATTGCCCATTACAATGTGAACACAATGTTTTTTTTTCTTTTAATTATTAACTAACATAAACAAAAGAAAGATTATTAAATTTTCTTAAACGATCCATAAATCTAAAAAATTAAGTTAATAGATTGGATAAATTTAATTCATTTATGAAAATCTGGGTTCAAAAAATTGCACAAGGTCCAATGATCGAAAATCAATAATAAATGAAAAGAAAACAACAATGCGAGAGTTTAAACAAACTTCTAATATTTTCTTCAAATTTCATGATGTGAAAAACTATTGTAATAGATCACAATATTTTAAAGGTTAAACTACACTTTTTAATATTATGTTTATTTAATATTCAAATGTTTAAAATTTCGATCCTATTTTTAAGCTTAAAAGAACTAATTTCAATTATGTTAATGAACTCCAATTTATGCTTTTATTTAATTCTTGCCAAATAATATTATTAACAAAACAGTAACATGAAATGTTAATAAGATAAATTTTAGTTAAATTGATGTAATGTGGTAGATGATAGACGTCAATTTTTTCTTACTGATATTAATATTTATGCTCACCATATAAAGACGTTGACAATTTGTTAATACCTATTAATTTTAGCAATGTTAGAGATGGGTAAACAAATGCTAGCCCTTTAACTACTCGAAAATGGACTATCCTACTACCAAACTCACGTTTTGAACCAATTTGTTTTTTAAGAAAAGAAGAAAAATTATGTACTTACCAATTGGATCTTAAATGAATTACTTAATTTTTTTTAAATGTACATATTCAAACAAAAAATTGAAAATGTTTTTTTATTTGAAAAATGCATACAGAAAAAAAATATTTATTTGATTGATTTTTTTTTAGTAATTTTATATGGACGGAAAATGCAACCTATCAATCCCAATCATTGAGCATTTGAAAAACTTTTCATTTTATAATGGAATGGTCAAGTCAAGAGGTTAATTCTTAGTACATTAATTTCCACATTTTCTATTAGCTACTTGAAAGTCTAAGTTAGTTTTTGGGTTAAATCAAAGGCCAATATTGACAATGACATTCAAACACTTTAATTTGATTTAGGTGTATTTTGATAATTATTTAATTTTTAAAATATAAGATTCTTTAATATAATTTTAAAGTGTTTTTACAATTTTATTTACATTTCAAAGGTTAGAAAAATATAGTTTTTTTTTAATTGGGAATTATTGTTTTTATGTTGGGTAAAGATAAACTATCCGTGAATGCAGATAATATCCGATAGTGTTTAATGAAATGTAAATTATTTGTGAGTAGTTTCGATTTTTCAAAAAACACTAATATTATTCTTGGTGATTGTGATTGTGAAAATGATAAATTTGTACTTCCAAAGACATTTCCTTTGATCCAACCATAATTCATGAAAGAAAGAAGATGAAACTTTGTCAAATTTTGAAGAAGAAGATCATGAAACAACAAGAGATCAATTTGCATTAATGAAGAAGAACAATACTCATTTGGTCCTCCAAATTCCACAATTTCCAACACAAAATCACACTCAAATCTCACTTCTAATCCTCCTCTCCCACTATTTACACTACTAATAAAATAATCCTCACCTAAACAAAACAGCACAAAATCTTCTTCTACGTTGAGATTTTCCCCTTCTCCTTCTTCTTCTTCAACTGTCAGAGATGAATCTGAGCTCACAGATCCATTTCCATGGCTTCCTCCGCCGACGCCATTGTTTCTGACCATGATCCAATCTCGATCATCCCATTCCCAATCCAAATCAGACGAATTTCCACTCAATCTTCTGATCCTCTCAGCCGGAGGATCCGACCAAGGAGCTTGATCGATCAGCTTTAATGGAGTTTCCGAATCCTCCATTGAATCCCAGAAGCTCTGATCCAAAACGCAGCTCGGAGAAGAACCCAAATCCGTCGTCTTCTTCCTCGAGCATTCGATTTGCGATTCAGAATCAAAGCCCTGAAGAAACGGATGCTCAAGAAGCTCTTTCGCCGTCCATCGTTCTTTGGGGTCTTTTATCAAACAGTTGGCGACAAAATCCTTTGCCCTCTCCGAAAACCACACCGGAACCTCCGGCGACTCGCCGGAAAACCCAATTTTATACAGAGCCGCCACCGGATCATCCATCTCCGGCCACGGACGGTCGCCGGTGGCCATCTCGATGACAGTACATCCAACGGCCCAAACATCCGCCGCAAACCCCTGTTCCTCACCCCTCGCAACCTCCGGCGCCATGAACGCCGGCGTACCGGAAAAACCCCCATCTCCAATTCCGGCGACTCTGTCCACAAATTTCGCACAACCCAGATCGGCGATTTTGAGTCCACTTTCACCCATTAACAGATTCCGGCTCTTGATATCGCAATGTGCCAATTTATTGGCGTGGAGATACTCCAAGCCTTTGAGAATCTGCCGCGTATATGCTCCGATCATCGGTTCCCCCATCCGGCCGCCGTGGCTCTGAATCGCATCCCACAGCGACTCCGGCAAATACTCCATGAACAGATTGAACACCGCCGGCTTGAAGGATTCGGTTTCGATTTCGAACCCGAAACACTTGATCACGAATGGGGAGCTCAAATTGGAGAGAAGAGCGTGTTCTTTCTGCAAAAACGCCGACGAAGAGAGGTCAGTGGATTTAACGGCGAATTGGTGGCCGGAAGAGGCGGCTGTGGCCAAATAGACGGTTGCCGACGAGCCGCGGCCGACGGCGGGGCCTCTGGTCCACTCCATGGCCGAGAGAGAGAAGAAGAAGAAGAAATTTGAGAGATGGAAATGAAATTGTGGAGAAGAGAAGAAGAGTTATGGGAATTTATATATCGGAGGCTGAGGCAAAATAGCGTCTTCTTCGAATCTTTAAGAATTCCTTCCAAACCATCAGAAGCAAAGCAAATAAAATTTCATTAAAATAATGTTATTTTAATTTCTAAACTTTTACCATTATTTTATCTTTTGTTTTTTTTTTTAATTCTTACCTTTGACTGATTCACACCTGAGGTATATCTTCGACCAAAAATTTATATGGGATTAAAATTAAAAGGAAAAAAAAACGTCTTTGCCTTGTTTGATAGATTTGTTTGACTTTTGACTGTTCGAGAATTCTTTTCAAAACTTTAACGATCCCTTTCTGAACCAAACAGCTCGCCACCAACTCTTTGACATATTTATGGCTAAAAACATACCCTAGAACAAGTACCTCATCCACACACCAGGAACATGGAACATGATTAAATAGAGGAACTTCTGTACATTTGACAATCTCAAATGTGTCGATTTTGACGGTTACTTATTATAGAATTTTTTTTAGTCGTTCTTGTTAATTTTGTTCAAAAAATTATTGATTAAAATATAATTTTTATCCATGTACTTTTAGGTCGCGTCTAATATGTTTCTAATCTTTAAATTTTATGTCTTAAAAAAACTTAATTTATTTGATGTTTTTTAAAATTTGAGTTAATAGACACAAAATTGAAGGTCGTGGGAGTAAGATAAAATAATTTTAAAAGCTCAGGATTAAAATAGAATCATGAAAAGATAGTTGCATTACAAATTTATAGTTGTATCTATTTAGTCATTGCATTTTGATTATTGGCGTTGTTATCTAGTTACAATTTATGTCTATTTTAGTCATTGTACTTTTGAGACGTTTGTTTTAATTCATATATTTTTAACTCTTATCCATTTTAGTCCTCGTCTTTTCGAGACGTTCCTTTGATCCCTATACTTTTAGAAAGGGATTGTTTTAGTCGCTCCATTTTATTTTATTTTATCTCATTTTTATAATCACAGTTTCAACACGACATTACACTCAATGTATATTTTTTGAAATGTATTGATAATTTTATATTAATGAGTTTACGTTTCATATAGAATTTGTGTTAAGATTTTTCAAATTAAGATCAAAATGGTCGCTTTTTAAAAGTATAACAACAAAAAAATGAAGTTGAAATTATATGAATCAAAACAAATATTTTTAAGATAAAAAAACCAAAAGCGAGCCGTACATAAACCCAAATAGAATTTAAACCTGATTAAAAAAAGATTTAAATTACTTAAAAAAAGTTTAGAGATGTAAATTTATAATTGAATTAATTTAAAAGGAGAACCGGCCATTGTGGGGGATTTTGTAGGGAGCGGGAAGTTGAAATGAGTGGAGAAGTGACACGTGGCGGAAGGAGGGACGGATCTTGCGGCCTGCAAAAAAACTGTGTATTTAGAAAAGGCCAATCACGTGACGACACGTGAAATCGCGCGTACGTTGCGCTGTTACGTTAGCGCGGCTCCAGATTAAACTTTTTTTTTCCCATTTTTGGAGGCAACGAAATTAAATTAAAAAAAAATATATATATATATATATTAATATTATAGCTTAGCTTGGCCAAGCAGCATAAGCATATTCCTCTTTTTTAATTTTGATTATCTGTTTAAATCTTGCGGCGCAAAAAGCTTCATTATTCCATGTATTTTGAATTCTAATGCTTTTTTTTTTGTCACTTTTTTTATATATTTAAAATATATAAATATAAATACACATAATTTAACTCTGAAAAAGTTGGGTCTTCATTTGTTTTGTTAACATGCCACTACGATTCCAAAGTTGGGCACCAAATTTTTGTTTAAAATGCATTTAAAAAAATTATATTTTAAGTTTTATAATTGTTTTGGATTTTAGTTTCCATTTGGTTTTATAAATTTTTTAGGTCTAATTCTTCAAGTTTCAAAAGTGATATTTTTTAATCATAAATATTTTGTTTTTATTTAGTTATGGTATTTCAAAACCAAAAACTTGATTTTTAATGTTTGTATCTGATTTCATTTTCGTCTTCCAATTGAATTAAGTTTAAAGTTCAGATTTTATTTTTATTTGCTACATGAGGTTTCATAATTGATATTTGCTGGTTTTTAAAATATGGATTTGATTTCATTTGAGTGTGGAGTTGAGTTGATTATTAATTAACCTAATACACGACAATTAATACATTGAAGAAAGTTCTGAAATATCCTCATGGTTGGCGAAGAGTCCCCTATTCCCTTTTCATATAAAATGTGGTTTTTTGGAACAAATTTTCAAATAAAGTTTTAACTTAATGGCTTAATTGTTAATTTTCACACATAGAAGTATGAAAATAAATATGTAATTAAAGCCCTAATATTTTATAGTATGTTTTAACCTATTTTTGTAGTATTACATTCAAATGTGGGAGGAGATTTCCAACTCTATTAAGGTGGAATTTTATTGCCTTGATTAGTTAGTTAGTTAATTCTGTTTAGATTGAGAATCTAATTTTATCTTGGCCGTTAAATTTTAATTTTACAGTTTTCAATTTAGTTTCGACAAATTTAACGGTTTTGATTTAAACTCTATATTATAATTAATTAATCTTGATAATATTTGTTTCTAATGAATGATGTTAAACATAATGAAAAATTATCCTAACATTGGTGTGAATTGTGACATGATGTAGATATGAACTAAAGAAGTATATTGATGTGATTGACAAATTTTCACTACTTTGTTAATGGCTAAAAGACTATATATGTAGCGTCATCTTGTATAATTTTTAGATTTAAATACTATTTAGATCTATATACTTTTAAAAAAATTGACTTTAGTGAAATTTAAAATCAATTTAAATTGATTTTTAAGGTATTTTTTAAAATCAATTATTCTTATATTTTTAAAATCATTCTTTCTACCATAATTCTCAAACACAATCGTATTCATTCTACTTTTAAAACGCATGTTTTTTGTCACTGTATTTTTGAAAAGTGATTAATTTGGTCCATATTTGTAAAATAACACAAAATTTATACACAATAGAATCTTTTAATACAAATTTATAACTGTTTCAAGAAATTTAGCAAGTGAAATATCATGCTAAAATTGAGATAAAAGTAAAAATGAATGACCAAAATAGTCATTTTTTAAAAAAGTATTGTGACAGGATTAAAATGAACTATTTAAAAGTATATATATGAGCTAAAATAAATAAAAGTTAAAAATACATGTACAAAAATGAACATAAAAATACTAGAACCAAAATGAATCAAAGTAAAAAATAAACCAAAATAGTATTTAAACCTACCATCACTATTTTTGTATAATAAAATTAAAACTTTTAAAAATAGAGATATATTTGTTTTTTTTTTTTTGTGTTAACATAAAATAGGCATTACTATTTTATGCCTCTACTTTCAGTCGAAGTCATTTTAAAATAGTACTAAAAAAAGTTATTTTAAGATAAGGCAAGCAAAAACAATTAAAAAATAAAAAATTAGTTGATATATCAACTTGTAAAATAGATCTACTTAAAAAAACCTGTAAAATAGGTAATATTTACCATTAATATAAATAGCTACGAAAATTAAAGATATAAAAGTTTGACTTTATTTTTTAATACTGATATACCATTAATATAATTCTGACATTTGGCGTGTTTTTAAATTTAATAGTGAAAGAGAATGTGTGTGTATATATATATCCGTATAAAGAAATTAATTATATATTTTGTAATAATTTTTATTTGACTTCTCCGTATATAGTTGAAACAATTTATTGTATATAAATATATTTGATCTGTTACTTTCTTGTGGTGGTCCATTTCTACTTAATATTTTATTTATTACTATTTTTCTGAATTTTTAGACATCCAGACGAATGATTTTTTGGTTAAAGATGTATGTCTTTTAACTCGTTAATGAGATTTAGATAGACTATTAAATAATATTTAGTAGCATATATAATTCTATTTGTATTTTTTATCCAATAAAATTTAACTATCAGATGAAATAAGCAATAGCTCTTAAATGTTTTTTAAAAACATAAAATTATCGTTTTCACTGCACATGCAATTACACTTATATATTAAAAGTTAGATTTACTGACAAAATTAATAATAAAAATGAAGCGAAGAGAGGTTCGAATAACTATGAATATGAACGTTTGACAAATTGATTTTTAAAAATTGTTTTCGGATTTTGTGATCGTAAATTGTGAAAACAATATTTTTATGTTTTTCAACATTTTCAAATTTTGAATTTGAAACTTTAAAATGCAGTATTATATTAAAAAAATATAAAACTTTGATAAATATATTATTTCATGTTATAAACTCATTTCATTTTTGTTAAATTAAAATGTGTAAAATATAATCTATTATAAATTATACAACATTGTAAAGTAATAATTATACAAAATTTATAATAAAAATGTTAATAAATTAATTAATATTATTTTAGATTAAACTAAATATTTATTTGGTAACTACAATTAGTTTAAGAACAAATTTTTAAATCGAGATTCGATTTCCAAATTTGCTATTAAATACTGAAAACAAATAATATAACTAGGTTTTTCTTTGAATTTCTTATTTTTAGATTATATTTTTGATCACCAATCAAACGCCTCCTATCTTTTAAAATAATAAAAGTGGTGTGTAATTTGTTTTTTTCAAAACTATGACATCATAATTAATGATTTTGAAGCATTAATCTTTGTTTCTAGGAGTGTCACTAAAAGATTCTACTCCAAAATACTTTTGAAAACAAAAACAAACCATTATTATGAGTATCATATGGCAAACAATCTAATGGGCAGAATTTAATTATTGAAAACTAAGGATGAGATTACGCACCCATAATTAATTTTAGGAATAGATTAACTCAGCGATAATTGACACATATTTCTAACCAATAAATGATGAGTTCGAATCTCCCACCCCCACTTGTTGTACTAAAAAAAATTGAAATATTTAAATATAAATCTCTCTTCTCGTGCATCATATGTTCAAATCGAAGCAAAAAGAAAAAAAAATCCAACGGAGTCTTTATATGATATTTTGTTAAGCATGTTTGAAATGACGTATTTCCATTTATGAGAAATTACTTTGAAGTACTTTTTATCGAAGCACCTTAGCTAATTAAAAACACCCTCGAAATATTTCGTCAGAAAACTTTTGTAAGTACTTTCCAAAAGCACTTTTTAAGTTATAAAAATATAGTTGCATGATCAAAAGAATCTCCTCAGCTTATTCATAAGTAATATCATTGAAAAAGAAAGGAATTTCATGTAAATTAAACGAATGTACAAAATGAATGTGTAATGTGGAAGCAATTCCAAATGATTTTGGTGCTTTGCTTGAAGGCCTTTCCATAATCCAATTCTGAAGAAAAAAAGTTGCATTGAAATGCCAACCAAATCCTGTTTTTCTATATTTTTATTCCAAGAGAGGGTCAAAAGTGCTTTTACTTATATAATTTAATCACTTTTTCTCTCACATTCATTCATTCATCTTCTCTCTCTTCTGCAGGCTGCTTCTCCATAGCTCAACAATCAAGTAAATAAATTTCATCCGCTCGTTAAGATATTAGGTAACTTTTTTTCGTTCGAATCCCCAACTCCATATTTATATTTGTAATATTTATGTACTACCTTCAAAACGTCCGTTTTGATCATGTACTTTTGAAAAGTAATTAATTTAATCATTATTTGTAAATTTTTTGCAATGGAAATTATTTACTACAAATTTGTGACCACATTTTAAGAAATTTAGTGAGTGAAAGTATTATATTAGAATTGTGATAAAAAGAAATTAGATAAATATGGAAATGGAGAGAAACCAAAATTATCCATTTTAAGAAGTACAACGATCAAAATGAATGTTTAATGAACAAAATTTGGAAGGAAGGGTACAAATACCAAAATAGACGTTTTGAAAGTACTCGAACTAAAATAGACCAAAAATTGAACTCAAAATTGACGTTTTAACTTTAACTTTCTCGAAATTGAACTATAAACTTGAATAAGTATTGGAACTAATACATTTCTAAAATTAAATGAAAAAAAAATTACAAACGAATCATCCAATAAATCATAGAAAGCTCAAAATCAAATCATATAAATATGGAGCTTATTTCATAAATTTGACTATGAGCAATTTAACTTTTTACGTGTGGGAAATTGAATTAAATTACCCATTTAGATGAGGCAGAAAGAAAAAAGTTACCATTTTGATGTATTTGGTTGGAAGTTTCAATTTCTCAAAACTTTGAACAATGGATGGANAAAAAAAAAAGTGGCAAAAGAAAAAAAAAATTTGCAAAAGTTAGCCTAAGCTACAACTGTCCAAGATGCATAAGTTTAGGTGTTCGGTATCCTTTGATGTTTGAGAATCTAGATGTTCGAGTTTTTCTTTCTTTCTTTTTTGAATTCAACAACATGTAGAGTGAGAATTCGAACTTCGGACCTTTAGGTCAAATATATATGTTTTTTAACTAGTTAAACTATATTCAGATTGACTAAAGATTCGAGTATTGAGATAGAAAAATTAAAGAAGAATATGTTAGAGATCTCGTGAAAATATCTAGATTGTAAGGAATGTTTTGATTGCTGTGTTTACTTGATTCATATATTAATTAATTTGATGTGGGATGAATACGTATAATTTTGTCTTTAATATTTGTGTTTGTTTTTCAATTTCGTACGAACTTTTGAAAGTTGTAATTTTTTCTTGTTATGCAATTCGATCTTTTTTATCAAAATTTTATTTTCATCAATTATTAAAGTTCGTCGGTTAAATAGTGATGTGATATCACAAATGATATATTTTATTATTATAATTTTTTTAGTAAAACAAAAGGAGTAGATGTCAAATACTACTTAAACTATACTCATATTCCCTCGTATATTTTGTTACTTGAGTGAGAAGGACTTTATGTTTTGATTTTATTTTTCTCCGCAAAAACCTATATTTTGAATCTAATGAACTAGATGCCTTTTTTTTTTTGTTAGATACGTAACATGTCGTAACTTACCCACTTAATAGATTGATCAAGGAAATTAAAATATATTCAATAGGGTATTAAAGTAGTAAAAAGGTAATGAATTCAATTCTTACTCTATCATTCTCTCCCGTTCCATATTATCAATTCACATCTCGAATCTTATGCTAATATTCGACTTAGTATAAGTATAAAAGCGAGACCTTATTTTAACATTTTTTTAAAATATCATATCAAAAGTATAGGAGTGAAGATTTGAACCCATGATCTCTTAAAAAAGGTAAATATGTCAAGATATCAGAACTATTAAGCTATATTCATGTGGATATATATTTTTTACCATTTCCTGAGCGAGAAATTGCATTAAATTAGACATTAAGAATGTGAAAGAAAAATTTACCATATTTATGTACTTGGTTGGAAGTCTCAATTCTAAAAGATTTGACTATTTTCATTTTGCAAATTTGCTTTTTGGAAGCACTGACAAAATAAGGCTGTTTTTCTGATTTCTTGAAAAAGATGCTAATGAAAGAGCCAAGAGGGACCAAATATTGCAATAAAAGCCACCTCTATTTACAACTCTGCAAAATGCATGGACAACTCAAAAATAGTTATGTGTGATTATTATTGGTCTTTTTTTTTTGTGGTTGGTTGACCTTTTTTTAATCTTAATTTATATTTCAAGAAAATTCAACAATAAATTATCAGCTTAAATATGATTTTTTGGTACCTCAACTTTTATGTTGTCGAACTTTTAAAACCTCGAGTTTTAAATGTTGACGTAGATGAAAATATTGAAACATCGATGTCTCAATTTTTTCATGGTAATGTAGATGGATATTTCTGGAAATGTTATAAAAATAAAATAATTCATAATAAATATTTAAATAAACAAATAAGCATTCCACCATTTTTTAGATAAGTTCAACGTTATTAAGATTAGTATTATGGGTATATTAGTGATATTTTGTTGATATTTTAGTAATTTTTTAATGATACTATGAAAATTTTGATTCATCTCTCGTGTCGATGTCAAACTATAAACATATGAAAATGTCGATTGAAATATTAACACGTCAATGGAAATTGAATACATAATTTTAGTCTAATGCTTACCTTTCAACTTTGGCTCCTATCATCTAAATCTTATCCCAAGGAGCCTAGGACTAAAAATTGGAGTATCTTTTATTTTTATTTTTATATTTTATTTGTTTTAGTTGAGTAGCTTTAGAAAGTTAAAATAAAATGTTTGAAATTCTGAGTACTGAAATTGTTCGCAAAATAATCGTGAGATAGCAGAGACGACAACTTTTTACGTACTATTTTATCTTTCAAAACTTTTCGAATAATCATCTCGCAAGTGTTTCTTCAAAAAAAAAAAAACATTTTTAAAACAATCTAAATTTTAATAATATTTTTTATGTATTACCAACTTTAGACTCTTTTAAAAACACTTATTGTTATAAAAAATCACTCAAGAAACTATACTGAACACACTTCAAAAGTGTGATACTTTAATTAATCTATTAATTTATAATTCTTAGATGTTACTTTGAAATAATCTTTTTAAAATTATATTATAGTTTCTAAACTTCTAAGAATTCAAGATTTTGAGGAGTTGACCCAAAGGGATAGTTTGAGTGGGTTGAGGCTTCAAGGAGTATCCTTGAGGTCTTGAGTTGAAATCACATGAAATACAATTATACCAAACAATGACCCCTACATATGGTAATAAAAAAATATATATATGAGATGTCATTTTAAAACAAAAAATTTAAAGATTTAATTATAACACGACTTTATTGTAGCAACTTTATTATTATTTTTTTTGTTTGAGTACAACATATGTGGTTGGTTGGGGAAACGAACTCACAATCTCTTGGTTAGAGGTATATGCCAATTACCGCTAAACCGGACTTGTTTTGGCTATAGCAACTTTATTTTAGCACAACAAATTAGAAATATGAAATTTTGAACAGAAAAAGAGTAGGTGTCAATTACCGCTAAGTTAAACTATATTGCTCTAGTAATGAATCCTATAGTTTTAGATCTTTCCACAAGTTTGATGCTGCAATTTAATAGCCAAGGCAAAATTCATCTTTTATCTCTCCATACTTAGCATTCGAAGTCAATGTTTACTAAGCACCACAACACCAACTCTTTTGTGTTCTAGAGAGAGAAAAAAAAAACTTTTGTATTCCATTTACAATCTGAGAAATCTGAACAGCCAAATTTCCAGGTCAATTATCAAATTTACCAAATGTTGCCATCAGCATCTCACTAAAAATTGTGACTTTTCCTCTAGGAGATGGAAGGTTGATTGCAAATATTTGTTGCTGTCACTCATATACAATTTAGCAGTCTCCATCAATTTGGAGCATATTGCATAAGTTTCATCTCTTATCTGTCACAAATGAATATGAAAGTATGAAAACAAAATATTCCCAAGATAGGAAAAATGCTTTAGTTAGCATAATTTCACATGGTATATACAAGAAACTTGCCATATCCTTGGTCATTATGAAAAAACATGTGATAATCATCGGAAGGTAAAATATAATTCGCCCTCAACGCATTTCTGTAACTATCCCGACCTGACATGTAACTCTACGTCGAGAAGTAATAAGTAAATCTAACTTGAATTCTTTCATGCATAAGTAAAGCTTAAATGAATGGAGGTTTCCTTGATGTGAGATGAGTGGTATATAAGATATATCCTTGAGTATAGGGTGAGTAATATAGTTTGGAAGCTTCAAGAATTAAATGAAAGCTATGTTTCTTGCCAAGAAATTAAAATAGAATAAAAGATTAGTGTAGATACATGACTTAAGGTACCAATTACCTTCCTTGCAGCTTTAGGTTCGATCTCTACCGCATAATGGTTGAACTCAGAAAAAGAAAAAAACTATACACATGATTGATACATAACCTAAGTTAAAGAAGTTCATGACGGAACTTATTACTTATATAAACTTGGGCATAAACTTGTATTTCAATTATATTTTTCACAATAAGTGTGACCAAAATGATGCTATTGAAAAGCTTGATTAGTTAGTTCAAGGGAAAAATCCAAATCAAATTACCGTTGGAGGAAAAACAAAAAGAAAACCAATATTTTAGAAACAAAAATATAAATAGTTCAACCTTGATTATTTTTATATCAAAGGGTTGAAAATACTTGGTGGAAGATTGTTTTCATATAAAAGATTTGATGGGAACTTACTGTGAAAGACGATAGAATGGAATTACAAGCTTCAAGTGCCATTATTCCACGCATAGCCTAGGTTTAAGCAATCAGCATCAAAAGGTTAAGAAGCAGTGCTCTAACTATAATGGTTATTTATACAGAAATTCAATTAAGTGGAAGTCTTAGTTACCGAAGAAGACTCTTGCTGAATAGCATCGACCAAAATCTGAACAATATGCTCTGACAAAGAGACAAGTTCATGCAAATAGGCCGAGTCACCAAGGAAGACATTGTTCGAACCCCAAAACTGCAACAAAAAAACAAAAGAAACTTCAGGCTCATTTCACAACTTGCTAACATATTGTTGGTTTTAAAAATTAGTAGGTCCATATTGTTGTTTTCTTTTTCTTTTGAAGTTCGTAAGTGTCTGAATTGGTTTACACATACCTTGATTGATCTCACACGACAACCACATGACCTTACTCATAGGATATTAAATCTTAAGTACGTAGCTACTATAGTTTGAACTTCTTCTCTCTAAGCTCTTACTTTACAAGAAATTACTCATCAACTGATTCCACTTTTCAACCAACATTCTAAAGTGTTTCAGGATTTTGAATCCAGTAAAAGTTGTTTTTCTTAATGTTTCTTAAGTTGTTTCTTAATATGCAAAACAGAGAATATCATATATTGTTGTTGTATTTTTATTTATTTATTAACACTCATGAGTGTCCAAGATAGTTTAGAGTCGTCTTCTTCATTTAACAAAAGTACTTAAAAATAAAGGACAGGGGGCATCAGAGCATCATTATCTTCACACATCTATTGATGGAAACGTCAGACAAAAAATGGATGGCAGAGCTTTAAGCAAAATAAAGAGAAGACTATAGAAGATATTCAAAACGAAGAGACTAGACCTCTGGCTCTGTCATACAAGCTTTACGTACTACCAATTTGTTTAAGGTTAATTAAATAAATTAGTAAATCCATGTCTTAATTGTTTGTCCATGATGACATCTAAAACATAGGATGAAGATTCCAACATTTCATTTAAGAACAACACACAGAAGGCCATCCAAAGTTCTGACAAGTTGCTAAACATATTATGTCTTCTTATCATGTAAGAAGATCTTAGAACTGAAACCATATTTTGCCAGATAAGGAGACAACATACCACTCCATTATCAGCATGATACGGGAGCCTATTTTGGGAACATGTTGCCAACAACGGAAGTATCGCACATAAAATCCTTGTCCTCATTCTTGGAGTCATCCTGAATTAATGTTCAAGACCAGATGTATACGTGATAGAGGTAGAGAAGAAAGTAAAATGAAACAAAAGCTGCAACATGTATGATGCAATAAATGCTCACCATGGTATATCATTTACAAATGATATTAAAATCTTCGGGAAGTAGGTACTTTCATGACCAGGATTACCTTCAAAAGAGAAGTGAAGTTAGAGAATTGAAAAATTGTGCGGCACGTGCACATGCACGTGTGAGAGAGAGAGTCTAAATTAACGAAATCAAAGAAATCATTGTGGGGGAATTTTTTAAAAGGGCTGGAAAATGGCAAAAGGTGGCATTTGATTAGGTGGAAGATGACCTCAACCTTGATTGGTTTTGGTATAGGTAACGTTGTCAATAGGATTTTATTTCACCATGGGAATGGGTTTGGGGTCCCTCCTTCAAGATCACTTCAATGTAGCACAGTTATTGTGAACATTCTTCTGGTTTATTCCCAAACAGTTGAGATATGATATGAGTTTTCCTTCCAATGATTTATGATTGTCTTAGATCTTCCTCTTAAATTGAATTTGCTAAGTTTTCCATTCCTTTCATGTCTGAGATGCATTTTAGTATTAATAACAGCCAGAACATTTTGCAAAAAAAATTTAAGCCATTAACTGAAATAACACTGAGAAGATAGCCTATCATTCCAGCTGATAATATGGAAAATTCTATATCAATCTTCAACCAGCTTATTCAAATTATCTGTTCTTTATTTTCCTCCCAAATTTAGACCATTATAGTTTTCCTAGGTTTGTATAATTTCCATACATATAAATAGTCTGTAAAACATTTATTTATTTTTTATATCCGTGTGTCTGGGCCAGCTTACGCGCACTTCGACTATTCACGGACCAACCGACTGACCCTACCACATTTGATTAACAAGGAAACTCGTAGGATATTAAATCCTAGGTGGTAGCCACCATGGTTTGAACCCATTCCCTCTAAGTCCCTTGCTATTTACATTGGCTCTCATTGACCACTTGGGTCATCCCATGATGGTTGTCTATGAAACATTTATTAATAATTTTTTCAGAAATATCAATGGAAAAATGAGTCATTACATGGTTTCGAAACCTAAAGATTTTAGAAGAAAAAAGAAGACCCTTGCTGGAAAGTTTCAGTTGGGCTAAATTCAAAGCTCTCAATGGTGTGCTCTATCCAATCTTTTTGCACGCCTCTCCTGTCATGATATACTCTAATTGGCGGGTTTTCCCTTTCCCTCTATAGCTACTTAAAGGAAGTCACTTTATTTTTATAGCTTTTTATTGGCTATTTTGCTTGTATCTTTTTTATTTTTTCGCTCTTCATTTTTCTTTCTTCACTATGTTAGGAGTTTATATCTTTGAAATTTTTTGGTCCCTTTTTAGTTATCAATGAAAAGTTAGTTTCTTGTAAAAAAATGAGTCATTACACTAAAACCTACATTGAGGATATGATTGGTATTGGCATACCCATTTTCTTAAAATTTGGCTGATAACATTTCTAACGAGGCAGGTTTTTGAGATAAAACCTGAGATAAGAGTAAGCTATGCATATGCAAAAAAGTGAAACGTGTTATAATTATATGAATATATGCAAGTGTTAATCTTAATTTGAAAATCTATGTCATAGTTAGATTGCAATAAATTTCTTTAGTCTTAGTATTGAAGTTTCTGTCCTCAAACGTCACTTTGAAAATGGTTAGAGGGAAGAATGATTAGCAGACTACCAAAGCCTAGTTATATTTCAACATATTAAATAGTTTTCTAATACCATGAGAAATTAAAATTGCAGTAGAGTAAATTAGCAAGTTCTTTATCATTATAAGAAAGACAAAAAGAATTATATTACCAGGGATCATAACTAAGAGGCTGCATAATTTTTGAATTGAGGAGAGTAAAAGATCAGCATCAGCTGCTGCACGAGAGCCTATACAAGGAAGTTAATGCTTCAATTAATTTGATACATGATATTTATTTGAAGAATGAATGCTACTCTTCAAAACATAAGGCAAAATAATTGAGACAAATAATAGAGCAGAAACATAAAAGAAGGAAAAAAGAGAAACCAAAGCAATGGAGCAATTGTTAAATTTTTTTTAATATAAATTAAATCCAAACATTTATGCAACGAAAACCAATGAAGTGTAAATATATAGTTGCAAAAGATTGAAATTTAAATACAGAAAGATTTGAACTAAGTGTTGCAGCAATGTGCATGTATATTAAAGATTGTACAGTGAATTCAGCATCAGCAATGTGCATGTATATTCGGACTTTATTTTAACTGCTAAGATAGAGCAAATATCCTGTGATGATATCCAAATGTTCATCAGCACAACAATGAATTTTCCAGGTAACACCGTTGATATTACTTGTATGCAAGGAGAAGAATATATGAGACCTGGGACTAGAAAATAGAAGTTAATATTAGTCGAAGGGTTGCTAAATGGAAAAAGGGTAGGGGAGTCATTTTGTGTAAGTGGTTAGTAAGAAAATTTAGAGGCTGTTAGTAAGACATAAAATGGAGAGATAAAAGGAGTGACAGGGGGAACAGCAAACTGTATCTAGTTAGTGCTTGAGATGGTTGACATGATTTTCGGAGAGATCTACACCTCTCATATATTTGGAAGATTGTAATGCTTCAATTTTTATCAACACAAAGGACAGCTTTTCATTGTTACTCCTATCATTGGGAATCAAAGCTTTGTTTTGGACATTGCCCACAGCTTGTTTCACTTTCCCATCAGAAGTCAATGCGTGAACTAGTGTTTTTTTTTTTAACCGGTCTTGAATCAGTTCAAGTTCTACAGGACTACAAGGGTTGTTTTGAAGGGTTCATTAGACCAAATAGGCATTGCTATATAAGTAATGTAACCTATAGACTATTTAGCAATTGGGATGCTTTTATTTGTTCTGTTTAGCTGGCTTATTTGGACTCTGTTTTAGGCTTTCAGATTATGTATTTGTATCTTTTTAATTTTTATGCTTTCCTTTCACTCTTTCGAGAGTTTGTATCATTGATCAATTTTTGTTCCTTTTCATTTCATCAATGAAAAGTTCATATTTTGTTCAAAAAAAAAATGTAACCTATAGACTAAATAAATTATCAGGAACACATTCCAGCATGCTATGTAAAACATATCATAGAACTTTGTAATTGTTTTAAAATTAGAAAAAGATCGAAGATTTTGAAGAATTGTCACAAACCACCTCAAGGAATAATCAGGAATACATCCAAGAAATAAACACTCTTAGCGATTTAACTTAAAAATTAGAAAACAATTGAAGCTTGAGAAGAACCAATAATATTAATATAAACAATACCCTCATTTGCTTAAAAAGAAAAAATAGGTGAACGCATAACCATATGGTACATCTCTTTGACAAAATTTTGGAGTGATTACTCAAACCAATAGAACATTTGAGTATGATGTTAGAAATAAAAACTGCATAGCCTCCTCAAAAAGAAGTGATGAACTGACCGTCCTTAATGTCCATATTGTGCAAACAGCTGATTGCTGAATCTATTAGTTGATCTGAATGCGAAATTAGACCACCTAACAAGGCGACCTGACATATAAAATGTATAACAGATCTGATTAGGTTCTATGCAACTCTCTCTAATTCATTGGCCACCACAATAGGTTCGAGAGTAGTTTCATAGCATGTGCAAGAAAGTTATATGAAAGATTAGCAAATTGTTTAAATTTTCAATAGAACTAAAGTAAAAATATTAACATGCAGAAAAAGATAAAGTTACCTCTGCAGTCTCAAGGTAAAGATTGAACTGCTTAATCTGAGCTGATATTGAGGGTAATGTGACTTCAGAAAATGCTATGCAGGATTTGACAAAATTGACATGTTTGTTTGCATCTTTTAAAGCCTTAACTGCTAAACCATTGCTAGAATGCACGAGAGTTTCCTGAAAGTAAGTCCAAGCAATATTAAGAGACTTGAGACTGGTGTGCAAATAAGAATCCATCTCACGGGATATGTAGGTATCACTGCAGCCTTATGCGTATTTGTTAGTTTTTTTTTGCTGTTAGTAACCATTAGTTAGCTTCTTTTTTGAAACTTGAATTTGTAAATGCCTTACTGGCAGCTTTACTTAAAACGCTGAATAGAAAATTGGCCACAGTTATGAAAACTGAGCTACATTCAGACAGTAGGTTCTACATGGTGATGGTGGCACAAGAAACTACTAGAATACAGACTGAGGATTGAATAAGGTGATGAATTAGTTAGTTTATACAGTAACTGCAAGAAACTATCAGAATAAAAAAAGGTCAATTGTCGATCACTTTGCTAGATGGAAATATGCATCAACCTGAAGCTCCTCTATGGTACCAAATGCTCCGCGACACTCAACTAGGAATGCTAAATGGCGCTCTCTCTCTATCCCAAAGTCCACCTGTACAATGGCAATTCATACAGAGCCACCAAAAGCCCTTAGCATTCACAAGATGGAAGCTTATAACCATAGATATAAACTTAAATCAAGTACCAGTTGGACAAAACGAGAAAGCAAATGTGCTGGTTGGCTATCATCGCCTTTCACGTTGGCAAAATCAGAGCTATCATTAAGAGCCTGAGAGATTTCAAAAAGCAATTCTATGGTTGCTGGATCACGTATATATGAGTTCCTGCCCAACGAAACAAGCATTTGATAGCTATTACCAGAAATGGAGTGCAGAGAGGTATTAAAGCTAAAAGCTGTGGTTCAGAAAGTAGGATATACGGCATTCACACACACATATAGACAAATAAACAAATAAACAACAATAAAATATGAAGAGTTACCTAGTTGCCATTTTAAGAATATAAATGGTGATAATGTTCCTTGGTCTCCCAACAAGCAAGTCCAGAATCTCCAGAAAATGGCTCTAAGAAGATAGAAATCCAAGAGACTTGGCAGTTAATAAGGATGTCGAGCTCTTGATTTGCATAGTATGAATATAAAATCAATTAGATTATATAACTTCACTTGTGGTAGTACTAATACAAACAATAAAACGAATATAAAAATGGAAAAGATTTTATGTAGAAGTTCAATAAGAACTGGGGATGCATACCAGAGCAAATACATCTTCCAAGTGCTGGTAGCGAGAGAGAAGCTTCCCTATAATTGACTGCAAACTGAGGAGTCCATTCTCATCTATCACTCTATTACGTGTTTGCTGTGAAATAGCTTCTAAAATCGTTCTTACAGAGCTATCCTGGAATTATTAATTATAATTCAGATTCAGATGTATTAGAACACAATTTAGAACAAAAAGTGACACCACGGGAGAAAATAGCCTTTAAAAGATGTCAAGTAAAAACTTCAATTGTCAATGTTATCAAAATAAGTCGTAAGCATGAAACAAATTACAAGTCAAAGCAGCTGAAGTAAAATATATAGCCAATTAATTTTCAAAGAATGATGAAACGCAATTTTTTTTTGTTAGTTCAACAGTTGCATCAAATTTGAAAATCATGACTTGAACTATGGTACTGTGGAAATAAAATACATTTCTAGGGACTACCACCTTCAACGCTTTGTAGTCTCAGACTTTTCATTTTTTATAATGACAATGAACAAACTGAATGGGCCAGGATCTCAACCTGACAGAGTTTTAACCCTCCCAAGAAAAAGGGGATAAGCAAGACCAAAGAAGATACATGACAAAGATTTAACGCAGTTCTTTCTCTCTCTGTTTTTCTTCTTCTTTGTCATGAAAAAAAAAACTCATTTAATGCAAAACGCAATATTCTGTAAGCAAAAAGATAATAAGTAATAAATGATCCTAATGAAAAAGACCACATGTTGGCTCAAGTTTACCAAATTATTTTGAAGAACAATATCCAAATAGGCATCAATGACTGTGAGATACTCATCCAGGCTCTCATTTTGCGCAATAACCTGGTATTGTAAATAAATTCATGTGTTAAGAGAATAAAAACATTAAGCGCAGATCTGAGAAAAATTACTTAAAGCAACTAGTTGTTGTTGGCTAGATATATTAAAAATTAAAAAAAAAAAGTGAGAAAGAAAGAAAGAAAGAATAACCTACCATCTTCCCTAAGCCGCAATATTGGATCTAAGAAATTGTTTCATTATTAGTGGTCTGAGACAATGTTTCATATTGCAACCACTGAGAAACTACTAGTTTAGGGCTCCTATGCATACTTATATATGTGTATATATGATTCCAGTGAATGAAATAATATAAAGCATTGTCTCATAATAATTTATCAGTTTATGTGATATCACAACAAAGGGTCTGGGTTCAAGCATCCACATTATTATTTCCTTTCCGTTTCATGGTAGACTAATTAATATCCGATTTGTTAGACCTTAGGCTAATTTTTTAGCCTAGAAGTGAAGTAGGGTCTTAAGGATCAAAAATTAGACTTACTCTAAGTAGGGTCTTAAGGATAAAAATAACTATCAAATTTCAACCCTTAAAAGAATAAAAAAAAGAAATTAAATATAATTTCTTACCTTAAGTATATTATTCATTACAGCATCAACAATGTCCACAGGAGGTCTCCTTTCACAAAGCCTAAGCCCGAGTAACCTGTAATTCAAGAACTGAACCAAAAGAAAGATTATGAAATCTGAAAGATCCCCAAGTCAATATAAAGACTTAAACGACCATTATGCAAATTAATAAACGTTGCTACATGGATTGTGATGGTTTCCACCTGCGGAGGTATTAATTTGTAGCATACCACCCGGTAAAAAGTACCTGATGGAAGGATGAATCATTGCTGCGTTCAATGAGTTGGAGAAATTCAACAGCATTCGAGCTTACTACTTCAACTGGAAGTTCCTTTAGTACGTGATGGAGAACAATTGAGGCACACTGTGAATTATCCATATTCCTTCCCAGTCCAAACACTTGAAGTGTTTCGTCTAATTGTCTCTTTAAGCAGACATAAGAAAGATGATCAGTATCAGCTAATCAAATAATTGTTGATTCAACAAACAGTAGTAGGGAATATGATTTGCATTTTTGGAAACGTTTCCAGCTGATTTTGTTTAACCCATTTTTCGGATGATACTTTGTAACTCTTCAATTCTTTAATGAAAGTTCGTTCTTTTTTTAGGATTAACAAACAAAAGAACTAATAGGGATGAAAGGTCAAAACCAAAATGGACCACATCGGTTTTCTACTTGGTGCAGTTTTCATAGGTTCATTAGAAATAATGATAAATGTTCGTTCATTCTTTCCAATTTCAAGAATGCCTCGTTGCAAAGGAACACCATCCATCACTCTTAATCGATTTAACCAATAATTTCAATAAGTCAGCATCTGCACTTTAGGTATTCATTTTAATTTCTCCTGTCTTCTTGAAAATTGTGTCCTCCATAAAACCAGGGAATCAAACCATGTTGAGCTCCTTTTCAGTTGGTCTTAAAAATGAGTTATGGTCGGTATTTAGATATTAAAAATATATATAATAAAGAATCCAGTAAGTAGTAAAGAGTAAAAAATTAATCAACCGATGTCATGTCTATTTTAGGACAATTTCAGGACATTATGTAACCACATATGAACATAGAGGAAAAAAGAAGAATATAAAAACTGCAAATACCTCATTTCATACTCAAAGACAGTATATACCTGAGAGACATCCTTAAATATGCATTTTACAGTATACTCGATTGCTGGTTCCATCAAACCAACAAGCAACACTTTGTTATCTGTCGAATTTCCAGTTTTGGTTTCTTTTGCTGGTATGAAATGTTTCAATTGAGCATTCGTGTCATTGATACATGAGACTAGCAATCCTGGTAAAAGGTACAAAATTACTCATGGTAAGGATGAAATCATCTTTTTAGTAGCACATCTAGTGCAATAATTGGCCAATTTAATATCCTATATGCATCAACCAGAAACTTGATTTAGAGAATCGGAGGAATTATATGCCCAGGTCCAAAAGCTTGCAATTACAATAAAAATTTTAAGCATCTAATTGCCAAACTCGCGGATGATCACTATCAAAAGAAGCAACCATAATATCAAATCTTCTTTTTCCTTGATAAGAAACTAATTTTTTTTTTAATAAAGAAGCAATTTCTGATGATGAAATGAAATCACACAAAGGGGAGGAAAACCAAATCCCAAACTGAGGGAGGTCATAACCTCAATCAATTGGCTAATAGAGAATTCATACTAAAAAGCAGAAAACTACAAACCAAAGAAATTACAAGAAATATCTCCTGATATATTTATATTTTTTTAATTTTTGAGTGTTCCCCACCGAAGCCACACAAACAACGTAGTTATGAAAACCAATTTTATGGTTTTATCACATACCTACATCACACGAAGGCAACTTCAGTGCACAATGAGTCATGTACAAACGACAGTATGCAGATGCCAATGGATCAGCTAATCCTCTAGCCATCATTACCAAGCGCTGTATGACAACTACAGGTTGATCACACAAGAATCGCCAACAAGGCAATAATGCTAACTCCAAATAACTGAAATAAGTATAAATAACTTCCTGTTAGCATTAATAACATTCCATAGAACATAAGGTTGCAATTGTACAGACCATAGCCTGGAAATTAGTCCACCAAAAGAACTTCCCAAACCAAACAACGAATGTATGCAAAGAATTTTTGTCATGATCAGATCATCTGATCAAGACAAAACTCAGATTGAATATAAAGGTTAGTTAAAAATTCTCACTCTACTTTTATTCATCCACCAAAATGATCTAAATACACAATTTAATAATTCAAACTAAATGAAGATGCACAAGAAAAAGTAATCTCTAATACATAAAAAGAGATTCATATTTATGGCCATCAGAGGGGTTAGCAACATCTGGGATTTTCTCTTTTTTAGGGTTTGAGTAACTTTGTTACTCTAAGGTTAACTAGAAAAAACTTTGATACCACACAAATGAATAAAATAAATATTATTATAAACCCATCAAATTGAATTTATGCCATCTTCAAAATTCCCACTTTATACAAAAGCAAAATTACATCATAATGTATCTACCCAAGAAAAAAAAAAGAAGAGGAATATGCAAATCTTGAAAAGCTATAGATAAACCAACAAAAAGAAATGACTTTACATGCGTGGAAGAAGTTCTTGAATGGCACCAATTTTGCAAAACCAGTTATGACAAGTTTCCTTCGCACTTTCACAAATGTCCTTTAGTTTGAAGTTCTCTGCAATAAAATCACAATAAATAAAATCAAGATGGTTTATATAGAAATTTAAAAAACAAATAATCAACATTTTTTCTGGTATCCTACTAGAATGATCCATCATTGTTTGTTATTTGCAAAATAACAACGACCAATTTAGACTATCTTTTCCAACATTGCACTCTCTCTTCCTTTTGATGGTCCCTTTTCCATAAATTTGGTACACAGAGGTGTTTCCCAATGAATTTAAAGGACTGTTTGGTACGGGTATTGTACAATCATCTTTTTAGCAACAAATGCGATATGCTAAAAGAACAAATGCGATATGGAAGTTCATTTGATTTTTTGGAATATCAAAAGTTGTTATTATTGCTCCTCCTTTTATCCTTTGTTCTTCATTTGCGAGTATGTATTCCATCTTCCCACTTCACACTCCACAAGCAACCGGTTAATGAGAGGAAAGAGCTCTTAATTCCTTATCTGTAATCCCTC